AGCACTACACTTCCCGGCATTTAACACTTCACTGCATTATTGTTCAAAGTACGATGAACAAACAAACAACAGTCATTACCATGAACAAGAAATGATAATTGAGGACATCTATGTTATCACTTTTTTTTCCAACGAACAGAAGACATTACAAAACACTTTTTTGTGAACCAGACGATAAAGGACTGGAACAGATTACCTTCGACAATCTTTGAAATCTTTCCACGCACTGTAAAATTGTTTACAAATACGTTAGGACAAATATAATTTAGATCATATTAACTATATTATCTAGTCTGTATTTCCTTTTTATAATAATGAATGTACTTGTAGTTAAATGCAGTAAAGTATAGTGTTAAGTGAATTGTTCACTGAGGAAATGGGGTAAGAGAAAAGTGAAGTGGACCGGGCGCAGAAAGTGTATGGTAATATAAGTGAAATGATCAGATAACTTAGTGTAGTGAAGTGAAGCGAAATGCAAAATGACATAAATAACGCATCCATAATTGATGAAATACATGTTTCTCTGCTTTGCATGTGCTTTTATTTTTTTGACGACATATTGCCCATTATATTTATTATGGCAATAGTGAAAGTATCGTTCTGAATATTTTACTCAACATTATTTCTACTATATTGTACACTATTATTGTTCTTATTATTAACATTATTATTTATATTTTCCTCTACATCACGACTAAAAATGTTATGAGTCGGCTGAATATAAAATTTACTCCAGGTAGCAACTAGCTACCTTAGGAGCATATCTAGGGACTGTCGGTGCCTCCACAATACTTCCAGTCACTACAATAAGTCTGTCACCAGTTAATGAAACTATTTGCAAAATATGTGGCTATTTAAAATCAACGTAATGGAAAAGGCATTATTTGTATTTTTGACGGAAGGCACTTCTTCTCGTTTAATGCGTAATTTTGCGGTCAAGAAAGAAAGTAAAGCATTGTTAAGGCAAATAAAAAACAGTAAACCAGTATCCAATGTCAGAATAGAATGATTTTTATTCTAACTAGCCTTTTATATGCCGCGACGGTTTCTTACTAATGTATTACTATATACATATTTCATTAGTGATGCAAAATGTATTTCTGCACATAATTATAATAGAAAAACCGCAATAATTCAAATATTTTCCAATTAGATACGTCACATGAAATTCAAAGTAAGCTCTGAGTGATAAAAGTAACACGCGCATAAGTCTTTAGTATCGATTACTGAATGAGTAACACATTTCTCTCAGAAACATCGTATCTACGAAGGCGATACTCAGAAGGAGTTTGCGTGTCTTGGCGCTGAAGGCCGTAACGCGAGTCTTCTAGAATCCACCGGGGTTCCCCAAGGTAACGAGTTGGAAACGTGTTATGTCGCAGTGCGCAAGAACAACTTGTTAAGTGGAAAGAAATCCACTCACGCATGAAATAATTACAAAACCCTTTCCATTTGATCTGGCCTTGACCGCTAAAACTATGAATGTAGTCGTATTACTAGTTCAACGACCCATCAAGTGCAGTTGTTGTAGAAAATAATTATATTGTGTAAAGTGCGAGGCCCATATTTCGAATTCATTTATAAGAAATTCACGTTTTCGTTACATAATGTCTCAGGAAAAATCTCAATGAGAATTATTTAGCGCTTAGTATTAGAAAGCTACCTTTACATTTATTACTTTACCTTTACATTTATAAGGCAAAAATAAAAATTAAAAATGCTTTATTAGACTATTGGATTTTTAAGGCATGAGATGGATTGAGTTGGCACACTCAGTTAATTCCCTCACTCTGTTTTGACTCACGAAAAAACAATAGGTAGAAGTTTTCCAGTGTCAGGGGGTGAGATCCGGAGTACCGCTTGATGGCTGGTCTCTACATATCAGTATTATGAGTCCCGATTCTCAGGAAAATGTTGAATGTTTTTGAAATATGAGACAGGGCAATGCTATTGCTTCTTGAGATATGATGATAATTTGGAGAACCAGTAGCAACTAACAACTAGGAAAATTAGAAACCCTATGTTTGAAGTAAAGCCTTCCGGCACTACTCCTGTAAGAGAACCCTGATTTAAAAAATTAGGACTGCACGACCTCTTAGACAAGTACTCGTTCCCGTGTCGGGATTCGGCCTGCTCGCGGCTCCCAAAAAAGATATTAGGATTTACGTTGTCATATATTTTCTCTGCTGAGCCACATTAATTCAAGTGGATGCACGCGAGATGGAACTCATGAACGTATAATGTGCAGAAGCGTGGTTGCAATGTTATATTCTGTATTTTTGCTGCCATATATTGCTGCTCAATGCTTTTGTTGCGTAGTGAAGACGAAATGCCCAATCAGCACCTATCTTGAGGGAGCACACATGGTAATGTCTAGAAAATGGAACGTTTTGCGGAGAAGCGTTTATATTATAAATAATGCAACTTGTGAAATGTGACCAATCCCCAAACACAGATGTTTAGAAAGAAGTTTTTATGTTTCTCTCGTATTTTTCAATGACTAGCAAATTCCATCATTATGAGCAATTGAATTATCATATTTGGGTGAATTTGTTGTTAACTTATTAATTAAAAAATGTATTGAATTCTACAATGCGTGTGTGTGTGTTAAAAGGGAAAGACACCACAGCATAACAGCATAGACAACATTTTGAAGGAAGAGGACCAAAAGCAGAAATAAACTAGTGGTGCTGACAAATCACTAACTTTCTCGCATTGTTCGTAAATGCTACGCAACATTATACTACGACATAAACCAGCAAAAGTGTTTTCAAGCAGCAAATTATTTTTCCGCTCCGACAGTAGAACTCAAATACGTCTGAGTTAACAAATTCATCTGAGTTAACAAATACATCTGAGTTAACGTGCAGAGACGCATACCACTACGCCACAGAAGGGCCGCATAGATCGAACACGGGCAAAGGCATAAAAATGTAAATGCTCGATTAATGTTATAAAAAAACTTCAACAATCAAAACATCCATTAGAATCTTCCAAAGCATCCAGATCCATTCAGATCAATCAGAGAATATCAATTTTGAAAATATAATTATCGGTTTAGGTGCTAGCGTTGACCATATACAGACGGATAGACGATTTTTCAGTATCAAGAAGCAACAAATATCACAAGTTAGATAATTTTTTCCCTAAATTTATTAATAGTACAGATCCACTTTTTCATTACCAGAACCCAGCAATAAGGCGAAATTTCGGCACTCACATCATCTGATTAGCTACAATTTCATAATTAATATATTTTATTGTGAAAATTAACATGCAATTAGTTATGAAGTCATGAGTTCCAAAACGCTACAAGTCAACATTTTGACGTGGCATTTGTTACAGACATCACATCAATCGTGTAGTCATAAACTTTCTCATAACATTCAGAACACAATGCAATTTTCATTTTCAAATGTGTTTATTATCTTTATACATCTAAAAATCAAAATAATATCTTTAGGTGGATTAAAGTTATACACAAATTTCTGTTAGACTTGTGCCGTAAGTAGACATGCTAATCATTATGTTAAAACTTCTATTATACTTTTAGAAGAATTATGTTAAAGACATAAAAACGTCCACTTCGAATATTCCCTTAACCGTTCACACTGTTAGGATGAAATTTCATCAAAAAATTGAAGACATAGATATTTATAATTTGTAGCTATTAGCTTTTTTTCACATTTTTCGTTTCAAAGATATAGGAATAACTTCGTTTTTAAACAAAATCTAAATATTTTATACGAAATTATCTTTTTATACGAATAAATTTTGAGGAGGCAATTTCAGCAATACTTCATTACCGCAATACTAATTTATATTTGATAAAATATTATCAGTACACAAGAATATGAAATGCCCTGTCATGTGAATAGCACACACTCAAATTTCTTGGCTGGACGACGGGCAGGGCACATTTAAACCTCAAAGTGCAGGTCAGTCCACCGCTCTTGATAATTCGTCGGTCGAAACGCTATTTGCTTTGAACTGCTTAGGTAGGTTTTCAAAAGGCATCAAAATGCAGATATACTTTTCTCGACTTCCCTGTAAAAATTGCACTATTCCCGGCCAAGAGTGTGTTCAACTGACCCGCAACTTCAACAGATGTTTTGTTTTAATGCAACTATCCCAATTTAATTACAATGCACCCGAAAATTTGTACGAAAACATTAATAAAACCAAGTAAATTTTTCAGGTATTAGGATGATCGTAACAACAGAAATTGGTCGCAAATTTCTGAATGTTTCTGCAAAAACTGCTCGCAAAAACAACGGGTGACGGGGGTCACTGTTTCTTTACTGCCTCTATGAACACTCGTTGAGCAGCTGCGCACAGTAACCTGCGCATGCTAATCTAGAAGACGTAGTAATGGATATAAAAGTAGGTTCTCACAAATCTGAACACTCGCTTACTCTAATTTTACTATTTGAAAATTACACAACTAGAACGATTTGTATTAGCCATTGGGGGAGAAAAACAGGAGTAAAAACTTCATACTGCAGTGTCAATTTATGTTTAGCGGTCATAACGTTAAGCATCTTATTCAACGTGTTTGGAAGCGGCGAACAAAAGCAGATAAATCCAGTGGCATCGCAAACTGTTGAAACTGCTGTAGCCTCGGATTTTATAATTCATTTGTGAATATTCTAATTATTCATCAAATATGAACGTATGTAGTATAGCTGGATTTGTCTGCTCAAGGTCCATCTATTTTTGTGGTAAAAGTATAGAGTTCCATTACAAAATACGAACATGATCCATTATTTTTAAAATAAAAAAGAAATCTACGAGGAAGCTAAAACAACTTATGAGCCCTTCTGTCCTGAAATGTTGGATGAAAATTCCATCTTAAAATCTTGACCCGTTCAGAAAATACATGAGGTGGCCGCTTTTATTGACTAACTCCCTATTATATATTTTGAACGCTAACTTAAAATAGTTTTATATTCCATTCGAATCATTCAGAAGAAGACGGAGCAGTGCAGTGTAGAGCGTACCTTCACCATCTCCATGTTGTTGGCGATGGCAGCGATGTGCAGCGGGCAGCGGCCGTCGTTGTTGGGCGAGTTGACGGCGTCAGGCCGCTGCGCCGTGAGGTAGCGCACCAGCTCCTTGCGGCCCGACGCCACGGCCTCCTGCAGCGGGTAGTCGCCCTTGACGTTGCGCACCCACAGGTTGGCGCCGTGCGCCGCCAACAGCCGCAGCGTCTCCAGCTGCCCCTTCGCCGCGCCGCAGTGCGCCGGCCTGCACGCACACCGCGCCAACGTGTGGGGGGCCCCCATCCAAGAGGGGTGAGTGATGTTTCCGAGCATGTTTGTCCCACTAGTGGAGTGAATGTTTTGTCCCGGGAGGTGGAGGTTTTGATTGATTGATGGATGGATTAGTTATTCCGGGCGCGACAACTGCGATGCTCATTATGCATTATGCAAATTATTTCATCGCGGGAGATAGCGGTGATTATCTCCCGCTGGATGGCGAGATCCGACGCCGATCTACACTTCGGCTTGAAAGGTTTTCCCCAATGAGGTACCTTCTATCAGTGGGGCACCGCCTCAGCGGACAAGCTCTAAGCTCCCGACATGTGTGGTAGTGCAATGCATGTAAGTTTGTGTGTGTGTAAGTATGGGTGAGGCTAGGACTAGGAAGGAACGATGTCGTCCGGCCTGTAGCCCGTTTGTAAGAGTACTGCTCTGACATTCGTCTGGTGTTGATCGGAAAAACCACGGAAAACCACCGACCAGAGCAGCGGGCCGCTAGCATTCTCCTCCAGACAGCTGCCGCATTCGACATAGCTAGGTCGAAAATCCTGCTATCGTCGGGACTCGAATTTGTATCCCACTCCGGGCTTTGAAGGTGGCGCGCTTAGAAGCGCACACTCTTCCCCTGAGGGCGACAAGGGCGGTTCCGCCGCACGGAAACGTTTAGCTGAACGCGGATTGGCCTACGTCACCCCCGGCCGGCAGCAACAGGAGGCCGGCCATAGCGAACAGTCGTGCGTGTGAGTCATCTTGTCAGTTACTCTCTTTCTCCGTATACGGAGCCAACTACGTCCCAGGACATTTCTACTGGTTGTTAGTGAGAGGTATTAGGACAACAACCTCTTGCTGACGCCCTTTGGACATTCATCTGGTTTTGTGGCACGACACGGTAGGTCACTTAATACGCTTCTGGATTCGGCTGCTCGCTCCGCGAGGCCAGCTGCTCTTCGCACGGATTCTTCCTGTGATTCTTCCGATCACACCGTGACGACAGCCCGCGCCGCTGTCGCTACCGACCGCCACGTCACGCCGGGGCTACGCCGCCCCGACGTCAATTCATCAGGGGGGACCACGCCGCTGGCCATTCTCCACGGCCGAAGCCAGCACTCATTCGGCTCGAGTTAGATACGTCACAGGTCGGTTGTGAGCCGCTACGACGGTCTTATGGTGTCAACACTGTACGTATAATGTACACGGCCTCCGTGAACATTATCTACTGAATTGTATGTTACTGTTTCAATACAGTATAAACTGTTTTTTTGTGTTTGATCATCTGGTTTATTTCGAAACACAACACTCAAACCCTATTATCTCATGGGAAGAGACACTGCAGTGACATAATTAGTGCTAGTGAAGCTATTTGATGGATGTTTCCGGGCCCGTCATTAGCGCTAACAGTGTATTTAATGTTTTATTCAGGAGATGGTGGAAATCCGGTACCATTCTACATGTTGGTTTATGGGGATTTCTCCCCCAACGTATCTCTCCTTCCATGGCACCACATCAGCCCGGACAAGCTCTAAGCTCCTGTCTCCTCTTCTAACATATGATGTGTAGTGTGTGTGTGTGTGTGTGTGTGTGTGTGTGTTTGTTGAAGTAGTGATGTGGGATCAAGGATGAGGAAGAAAAGATCGCGCGCGGTTCGGGGCCCGTTTGTTAAGGCACTGATCTGGCATTCGCCTTCAAAGAGCAGCCTTCATTTGCATCAAAGAGCAGCCAGCGGCCAGAATTCTCCTCCAAACAGTCGCTGTATTCAACCCAGCTGCCGAGACACTCTGCCACCGTCGGAACTCGACCCTAGGATCTCATGGCCAGATAGTTATTATTATTCAAAAACTAACTATATAGCCTAATTCATGTAAATATTGTATCGTAAATAAGAAAAAAAAATAATTTTAACTATTTTATTAACCAGAAATAATTAATGAAATTGATTCACATTATAAATGTATAGTATAATAAGGAGAGGAAAACTATTTTAATGTAGTATATTTTTAAGTAGGAATGATTTATATTATGTTGTATTTATTATTCTCATATTAATTTTCAATATATTGCAAAGGTTATTCTTATTCGATAATAATTTATATTTTTCGTTTTCATAATTATTAGAAGAGCTTATTGTTTAATCGGGCTGAGGATCCATAAGTGGTGTTAACATTGGCTGGAGACATTGCTGATATTTGAGGGGAACATCAGTAATGTTAAGGTTGCCTAATGATTAAAGTAGCATTTGTCGCACCGCCTTCTTGCATCACAGATATAATAGTTTGGTTGAAAAGTAACTCACTTCTTAATAACACTCAAGTGGCTCTAGTAATTCTTCTCCAATATTGAGCTTCTGCTATTTGATGGAATTGCGTGATCAAGAAATGCTTCTATTGTGACAGGGCCTATAATTTGCATACTTTGAATACTTTGCATACTTTGCATTCTGCAAGTGGTTTGAGTTATTGAAGATAAATGCTCTTTCGACGATAAATAATTCAGTCAAAAATTAACATATTCACCTGGAAGGAATATATATTTATTGTTCAGGAATAGGCACTCATTAAGTAAGGATGGACGTTGATAAACGTATATTTTCTAAGAGGAAATATGCACCTTTTCTGGCAACAGTTGGTAAGAATAATTGAATAGATATATTTCTGACACATACACGAAGCACAGTGCAATTGAAGGACTCGGGGCAGTAATATATGCCACACTATGCACAGAAAGTTTCCCGCCAATTGTGAATGTTAATACCTGAATTTCGGTTAAAAAAGGCTAATCGTTTTACTGCCCCAAGCCGTTAATGTATGTGTAGAGAACATACATTGTCCGAAATCAAAATGTTGATATTTACAGTGATAGAGAGTGGTATTCTGTGGCTGGTGTGGCTTATCTTCTTATTCCTTTAAGGCTTTCAACTTAACCATATTTCGCACACCAATGCCTTTCCAGTATTCTAAGGCCCCCCGGGGGGGGGAGATCCACGGCAATCTCAGAATACAACATAATTCGAGGAAAACGTTATATATTTTAGAATTAATGTTACATCAAAACTTGCTCAATGCAGAACGTACATAATGCGGAAATCTGTCTAATATGAACATGAATTGTGGTTCTACGAAACATAAGTTCTACTATATTACATTGTATAATGAGGAATCTCGTCTAATACGAAACCAGTACTGATCCCTTAAGATTCTGCATTGAGAAGTTTTACTGTATATAAATTTAACAAACCACTACACTAATTTTCTGAAATTTTGTTACAGTACTTGCAGTTTTTAGGGATGGCAAAGTCATCGAATATATTTTGATCATTTTATGTCCTTTACGTGACAACACAGATAGCCACGACTTTTTTTGACGTTGTTAAACATTCACAATATTGCTCCCATTTCACAACTGTTATCTACATGGCCACATACTAAACTGAGATTGCAACGCGTTTATGGAGAGTTAGGACTGAAAAGAACCATGACGCATGATGACGGATTCGGATTGTCTCGTAAACATCCGATAAGAGTTGAAAGACGAAAGTAACACTTAGTAATGTGGTGCGTGATCTGTTAATAAAAGTCTTAAAGTATGAATAAGTAACTTCTACCTAATCAATGATATAGGAAAAAAGTAGGCTGCATTGTCCCTCCCCATTAGTATGCGACTATAAATACGTTTCGAGAGTCCGCAGAAACTTAAGTAAACAAAACATCTCCCTTGTTCGAGAATCTCGGCTTGCGAAGTCCAAACAGGTTGAATTTCCTCCTGCACGCCAGGCGCCTCCCCCCCCCCGATGACTTCGTAAGAAGCCGACGTCGGCGCCGTGCGTGTCTCCCTACAAAAGACGGGCGGCGGGTGAAGCCGCGGGGGTGGGTTGCGATGGGCGTTGACAGGGGCAGGAGAGGGAATTGTGGAAGGGGAAGGAGAGGGAGGAGAGGGGCGTTTCGAGCTCGCAAAGGAGTGTCGCACACGCGATACGACGCTCCTAGCGTGTCGTTAACTCGCCCCGTCGCGTTATCGAGCATCCAGCTCGCGCCAAAAGGATGCCTTATAGCGTGAGACGTTAAGGATGACAGAGCCTGCGCGACGGCGACTGTCATAGGCTTCGCGGAGCGTAAACCAGGGCATGGCGAAAGTTTTTAATAAGGTATGACTCTCCGGATTTCAGAAAGTATTTGCAACCTTCCTAACTCGTTCCAATTAACTTATTTTTTCTATTAATAGCTGCTTATCGGATCAGACATTTTATCGCCCTTGATGGTTCACGGAACCAAATCTAAATTCTTAGCGATTGTAATTTTGGAAATAATTAATAAGAGAACTACACTTACTGTGTTTCACTAGGATTGAATCGATAAAAGAATACATGTTTTGTAGGATATTGTAGGAGTACTACTAAGTTGATACTACAAATTCGGATAGTTCTTTGTAATAAACGTGAAAAATAATTGTTATTAATTTTTAAATCTCAAGTGTTTATTAGAAGGTAGGAGAATGTCGTATAAACAAAAATTACTAACTCATGCAATATTGTCAAAGATTCAATTTTGGTACGGCAAGATGCTTCAGGAAAGAACCCATCATTTATTTGCCACCCTCAAAAGACATAATACATCTCATTGTATGTAGAGGAAAGCGTTTAATAATGGTATTTCTGATAAGAAGTGCCTTTCACATCTCCATTGTTATTTTCCTGATATGCTCTTATTCTGATGGGTCTGTGTACATTTCAATCTACAAAATTAATTATCGTAAGTTGACTTCAAAAGCAAACCTGTTAATCAAATACATTGAATGAACTATCATGTTTCACCCATGTAATTAATTAAAGTGTATGCTCGACGTTTTCGCACAGATTATTTCAATCTTATGCTACAGAAAAATGAATAAAATGAATGAGAAAAAATGAATTTTTGAAGTACACATATCTTTTATTTTTCAGATTAGCACTATGTTTTTAAAATTTTGATCCGTTCTAGTGTTTATTGCTTGGGAAAATTCATTGCGTAGTAATTGACATAATTACATATAAACGAATCAAATGGAGTTATACTCTTTTAGTTAGTGTACAACTTCTCGGGATCCGTTTGGATCACAATCTTACTAGCTCTTAGCCCTAGCTGATAGTTCAGGAACCGATTATGTCAAAACATTACCACAATTAAATAGCCATGTTACACTCGTTTTTCTCAAATCAATGTTACAATAATCATGTAAATGTTAACTTAAATCGAGAGGAACGCCAAGGACAGCTCAAAAAGTAATAGGGACCAGCTATAAGAGACATGTGATAAATTATTTTTTCTCATTTTATCGACTCTTACAAGCGAGAAAATATAAAATAAGATAATTTATCAAGTCAGGTTATCTAATATTTTTCTGAATTTTTGGTGACTACATTTGTACTGATGGTTTATCAATTTTTCCCGATATTTACGTCAAATTTCATTTCGTAAAACAGTACTGTTTTATATCGCAACCAAATGCGTAACGAGAAGCCATTCTTAATGGGCAGCATCCATTAAAGCTTTAACAGTTCTCCCTCCATGAGGAACAATGAAAACAATTGTTTCCTTAGGGATTTTATCCAACCGACAACCGCTAACCTTTACTACACGATGGCGGATATTCGACTAGACACTAGACACCAGAACACTTGTTATACTGGCACCTGTAGTATAGTATAAGCAGAACGTGAAGTCTCCGTACCTACACATGTATGAGAGACAAGTGACAAACGATCATGTCCAAGGTGTGACTCGAACCCGTGGCCCTCGGATTGAAGCGCCTAGTCGATATAAGCTCTTAGCCACCTCGGCCATACAGGTCGACAAGAAAACAAATGAGTTATTTAATATGGACAATTTTAGGCCACTCATGTTTCGTAAGCAACTCAATTATTTCAATAATTGATACTTCTTGTCTACATGTCATTTTATTAGAATATAACAAAAATTCCGAGTATTACGAAACGTATAGAATGACACACAATCGATAATATGAACAACTCGGTTGATATTAGCTATTCTTCGGATTAATGCTGTTAATAACTATTTCGGGGTCATCACAATCGGGATTCTAAAAAAAAGTTACTCTGAATTTATTCGTCGCTCTTCACATATACTTTGTTTTACGAACGTGTGGTGACAATGATAAAACGCTCTGGCATACAAATTACACCGTGCGTTAAGATGATGAGCCTTAGGTCTTTTCTACTACAACACATCTCGTACTACTCCCGCTCGACTGAAGTGAATATGATGTGAGGCCAAATGCATGAATGAGTTTTCGACAGAGACTATTGACTATGGAACCGTCCACAAAACAATACACAGGAAAACTTCATTGTAACTTGTGATCTATATTTTAAAGAACATGAATTCCTTCTTACACAGCCTTCTCCATATAAAATATAATTACATATGATTTTTTTGTGGCGGGATGGGGCAAGCATCGGACGAAACTGCACGTATAGCCGGGCGGCGCGGGGGGTGTCGCCAGTCTGTGACAGTCGCACGATTCCTGTCGCCTACGTAGAACACAACGCGTCTTGTCCCTCGGAATATCAAGCTTGAAACAGAAGCAAGCAAGCAGTCACCGTCGTCTGTTGTAGCCCACGTGGGACATGTCTTTTATTTCCGCAGTGAAACGTTGTTGCATAAGGTCACCAGTAAGGTTTTCATTCCAGGTCTGTTACCATCACATCAGGGGAGACTTCTTCGATTATGATCTTAGGCCGAAGATCGTTTTTTCAAGCTGCTTGGTGTTGAAATTTCTAGCATTGAGACAATATGTTACTGTCCAGGATGAAATCAATTATCACAACGTAGTAGTTCCTGTTCACTATAGCCGAGGTTCTGATCCACTATAACCGAATGCTTATTTGTAATGAAGTGAAACGAGACCACTGACTTCAGTGACGAAGTTCACTAAAACCGAGCGTTCAGTGTGTCCGAGTTTACTATAACCGGAATCGACTGAACTCAGCTCCAAACTTTCAATTCAATTAGAAATAACACCCTCTGAGATAGCTCAGCAGCAACGCTATGATTTGCAGCACCACAGGCCAGGACGTTGTAGGGTGCGGTGGTGGGTTTTGGCCCCGAGCTACTATCTAGGTCTTATTCAATCTATTGGGAAATAACTCTAGCGGTCGGGTCCTTTTATCGGTGGTTTTACGTGATTTCTCCGACCAATAAATATCTCGAATAAATGCCGAAGCCGTACCCTAACAAACGGGACACGGACCGCAAAAAACCTTCCTTCCTTATCCTTGACTCCTCCTGTCCCCTTACACTCACATTTTCACTTGCATACACATGTCACAGAGCCAGTCGAGGGCTTAAAACTTGTCTTGGGTGGGTCGGTGCAGCGCTGAAGGAGATATCTGGAGGAGAAAACCGAGGTCGAGTCTTGCAAGCCAAAGTATAGGTCGGCGTCGAATCGCACGTTCCAATGGAGAGCAACATCGCCGCATTTCTTAATATGGAAAGCACTTCAATAACGGGAAAATGATGATTAGTAGTTGACGCACGTAATCCAAAAAAAATTCTCACTGGGAAATAAACTTTCATCAGGTGCTTCGAAAAACATTGTTTCGTATTTTTTTATCAATATCCCATTTTCCATTTAAGACGAAATTGAATCAAATATGAACGCTAGATAAAGCAGATACAAAATGTTTGAGGCCTAAACTAAAAAATCATTTGATGGTGGAAAAGGTGTTAAATACATCGCTAACTGTGAAGACATATTACTTGCGAATGCAATTGCACCTCAATTAAAATGCGTGTAGTATCCATACTCATAAATGGTGTGTTTTAGGAATGAATTTCATCTATCTCCCTATTCGGACTGTGTATCAATGTAAAATGACTGCAAATAAATACAATATGGTATTTCTAGGAACAAAAGAGAGCGAACAATGAAATGTTAAAATAAGACAAAAATGAGATGCTTGCCATTAAAACTAACTTGTTTCATTTGCGGTAATTTTACATGAGAAAAATCTTCTCATGACAACGAGTGATGTAAACAAGATACTCTCATCACATTGTAGGTGAAAGTAGTTGAATTTGAGCTAGTATTTCATGAGTTCATGAAGCACCTCATGAAGTTCGCAAAAGGTTAAAAAAAGTCAATTATAAAATCACGTAGTTTTGATAGCAAACTTTTCAAATAAGGGTGAACTGAGAAAACGCGATTTTATCTACTTCAAAATTCATAAAAAATTGGTAATTTACATGTTAATTTTTCATACAAATTTAATGTACGTATGTGTGTAAAACTTAGATTTGTGTTCATGATAAATTATATTCATACAATTTTTGAATATGCGAACATTGATTCAACAACTTTTATTTTTCTCATTTTATCATATTTCACCAGCTTTCACTTAATTAAAAGTTGATTTTAAAAAAAAAGCTAATATAAAATCGCATTTGCTGAAAAAAACTTACGTGCGTCCTTTTCTGTCCTGCCGATTTGGCTCAGCCCCATAACCAAGAAGCAAACGAGTGGAGTCCGCATGGCCCAATGTGACTGTGTAGAAAAGTGCCGAGCAGCCATTTGTGTCAATGACATCCACTTCCGCGCCACATAGCGTCACCAACGTTTCCAGGCATTCCGTGTGGCCCCGACTAGCTGCGCAATGCAGGGCTGCAATCACGAAACACACGTTCCCAACCCTACAGTTACATTAACGTGTACATCTTTTGAAACTACAAAAATGTAGCTGCAGTATATTGTAACCACAAGAAAGAATAGATACATATGAAAAGATAAAAGGAAAACTTTGAAAATGAAATAGATGATCTTACCTGTCAAACCATCTTTATCATCCGCTTCTACACTTGCACCAGCATTTACTAGCGCTAAGATTGCATCCGCACTACCTGCAATAAAAAACCAACATTTTTTAATCGCTTCCATTATCAAAACTACTTATACATAGATATTTGAGAGACTGATATCAAATTATTTTCCTTTTGTATGAATTCATTGTTAAAATTTTAATCTAGCGTTACTGGATACTTGTCTCGTTGATTTCTGAAATAAATTTTAGGCTATAGAATGTTACATTCTTTACTCTCTTTAATGCGATCATACGTTATATCAAACAATATCTCTAATAGATAGTTACACAGGTGCCGTATTATCTGAGTTGAATTGAGAACATTTGCATTAAGAGTTATCAATAATCGAAGAGAAATAAACAAGATATTAAAAACCCAAGCTCCTGGACATCGAATGTTTTTGTTTTCTCCGATTAAAATATATGAATTGACAAAAAGTTACACTAAAATCGTATTGATGAAGTAATGCAATAAGTGTAAACAAAGATCTGTATTCTCAGAACATCATTTATAATTCACAGCATCTATTTCAGAAAGAATTTCAAAGAGCGTTTATCGTTCGGGCAAAAGTCACTGGATACCATTTTACAGTGCATAGTTTTTAAAAATATTAAATCATATGAAGTAGTTACATAAATCACATATACGAGTATCAAAGATCAATATGAATTGGATTATATATTTCCTACTCCGCTAAAATTTGATAGAAATGTGATTTTAATAAACAGGATAGAATAACCAATTATTTTCACAAGAAAAATATATCTACCATGTTTAACTAGCAATTTTTTACATCCTGAAGCATTTTGACGTTCCCTTTCAGCATTAGCTAAGATAGGGGCGGATCCAGAGACACATTTTGGGAGGGGAAATTAATATTGTTTTGGTCGAATGTGTCATTACAGATTTTGTAAAATGTTGCAGGCTACACTCAGCTTATGCTGCGATACTATTTATATTCGTTTTAATGATTATCCGAAAATGTTTTTGCTTGAAAGTTTCGTGACAAGTTAAAATTTAAAGTTACAAAAAAATTTTAGGGGGAGGATTTCCCTCATTTCTTTCCCCGTGGATCTGCGCCTGATTAAGATATGCAATTCGATGTTGTGAGTTCTAATAGCACTACCGGTAACTGTACAAATGAAGTTTCTATTCAGTCCGTTGTAAATGTCGCATCCATTTTGGCTTATCCTGCACACCGAAGCGCTCTCAGGAGTTTACGTTCCGTTCTCATTTTCATCCAAACATAGATGAAACTGACAGCATTTATAAGAAAAATAATATCTTGAGGAGCAATATTATCAAATTATCCAATTTAAAATTAATAGGAGACAGCTGGATTTGAGTCGATAGACGAGATGAAAAAAAATTAAACGAAAATAATGGTATTGTAATTGTAAATAAATTGAAGTATTAGTATATATGATTATATTTATATGTATAAGTCCAAAGCCTAGGAGTATGCGGGTGTCCCACCAACTATGGGCCACTCCATAACTAAACGGTTCAAGGTCTTTCGTACCCCTAGGGTTAAGACCCATGGGGGAGAAAAACCAGATCCAGCTAAATGCTGATCCCCCTAATAAAAACTACAAGCATTTGTCACCAAAATAATGTTTCTGAGCCTCGGTAAATGCAGGTCCAAGGCGGTCTATTTGTGAGCAAAAAGAATGCATTGTTACAAATATGTTTAGTTTTTGAATAATTTAATCATGTTTGATTTTTTAAATGAAGTTATATATTTTTCTTGACAACAGTGGATAGATAGAAAATAGGAATGCATTAATGTATCATATGTTAATATTTTGATAGTAATTTGAGTGTAAAATTAAAATTTCTGACGTGTGATTCTAAATTAAGCGGACAATATTTCTTGTAGAAGACCTTCCAACTGTCGCCTTCGGGGAATGTGGCCTGCGTGGCGCCGTGACGCGGGGAGTTGCCCGGAGAGGGCGGAGGTTGGGCAGGACACATTCCTCAGAAGCAATAGCTGCAAGGGCTGTTAGAGAAAATGTTTAATTGAAAATAACACGTTAGAAAGTGTAATTTTACACTCAAAATATTATCAAAACATTAACATACTTTACACCGTTGCATTCCGCTTTTTATGATCTATCTATTGCAAGTGATAAAAATATACGGTTTCATTTAAAACATCGAAGATGATTAAATTTATGAAAACCTAAAAGTACTTCAAACAATATCTCCACAGCATATTACTAGCCATATAATTCCGCATTGTTAAGCGAAAACTGCATTTCGACATCGTGAACCATTTAGAAATAACGGGAATGGCTAATAGTTGTTAGGACTCCATGTATAAATCTGGACCAGCGTTGGATAACGTTCTTCAGGTCTCATCTTATTGTTGTTTTTTTATTGAAAAACTGTTAAGTAACACGTTGGTTTGCTGCTAATAGAAAATGCGTTACGGGGCGGGGCGGACGCCCACTCACCCGCGCTGGCCGCCCACAGGATGGGCTGGCGGCCGTCCTGGTCGGCCACGTCCACGGCCACCCCGCGCGCCAGCAGCTTCCGCAGCACCGCCAGCCCGAAGCGCACGTCGTTGCCCATCTCCGAGTTGGGCCCGCACATCTGCGCCGCGTAGTGGATAGGGTAGCCCCCGTGGATGTCGGGCGTGGACGGGTCTGCGCCGGCGTCCAACACCAGCTCCAGCGCCTCCACCTCGCCGCACACTGCTCACAGACGCCACGATCGCATGCGGGAGAGGGCATTGGGGGGCCGTTACAAACGACACTTTGCTTCACCTGCATATCAACCATTTTTAACCAACTGTAGCAATATTTAATTGGCTGTCCGGGTGACGCCGCGTCCATGGCAAAGGTGCCGACGTTTCGGTCGCCGTTCTGCGACCTTCCTCAGGGCGTAATGAGGAAGGTCCCAGATAGCCTCAATGCATATTAATGTAAAATGTTTGCGTCAAATTCTTGTCATTTATTTTGTCGTTATTTTGTAAATGATAATGGACGTTAACGAGAAACTTTAAAAATTGATTTCGTGCATTTGAGAGCAGCTACCAGCGAGCGCAGCCTAAAGCAATAGGGGAGTCAAGAACATTTGTATACCCTTGTGAGCCCGTTTGTTCAATAACCTTTTCTATTTACTTATGAAGTATTTTACTAGTAAATAAATAAAATATACTGCAAAGAGAATTAAATTATAACTTTAATGATACAATTACAAATACTAAATACAATTGGTTTTACGTTAAACCATTTATAGGATTGCTAAATGGTTTGAAGAGCAACTTTCAGAGGCGGTGAATCAATTGCCCAAATTATCACCTTAAAAAGGCAAAATCAGAAATGTATAATATTTACGGAAATATAATTTTCTTATGTGGGATTTCCGGGAAATTGTGAAGCCTTCCAGGCAAATCATGCTCTCTGCCCCCCCTGTGCGCACGTTTATGGGAATAGCATCAATTACTTTAATCTCTATTTCTGAATGTTTGCCTCAAATTCTTGTCATTAAGAGAATGCAGTTCAGTGTTGAATTTTAATTACACGAGTGTTTCTCTGCTTTATCCGGGATCTAAAAGGTTATTGATTCACAGGTGCTCTTTCAAGTTCTGAGTCAGTATGGAAATCAGGCTTTTACGTGCTTTGTCAAACGATGCGTGTCCTAACCTTCAGGACTCACTAACGATTTTTCCTACGTCATGAGTAAGTTCAACTTATGACTAATGGATGGTGAGAAAATATTTGATGCATTGGTTTCTTGACCTTTTAAATCCCTCTTTCTCATACATATTGCATGATTTTCTATGGGTGCAATATTTTGCGTTGCTGAATTTCTTTCAGAAGATAATTCTGAACCTAGAGTCTGAAGTTCTTGACCCACACATCAGCATTACGGGAATAAATTTCAACTTCATATTTTAAATGAATGGAGATTTGAAGAAAGGCTAAATCGAAGTTATTATTAGCTATACAGAAAAATATTTTTGATGAATGTTAAACAAAAGTGAGTGTAAAATTATAATACGTTTCTTTAAACATTCACAAATCACACTTTCCTCATTTTATGTATTATAATAAATCTCACAGAAATCCGAATTTAAAGACTTTGTAAGTTGGTCAAAAACTTCTGTCCCTCTGCAGGGCAATTTAAGAAACTCGTATTTTGAAAACTTTTAATGTGAACTTGATTTTCGTGTTAGTAATATAGTAAATTTGTCTTTTAGCCAGTTTCGCCTTTTTTCATATTTCTAATATTGTTACATATTGAGATCATCTTTGTGTCATGTTTTATCTTAGTTTAAAATCATTTACTTTCCATTCCATTGACGGATTCACTGCAATTTAAAAAAAAATTCTTGCAATTGGAACCTACGTCGTGGATATAACATCTTCGTATTTCCAACATATAATGGTCTTCAGCTTTAAAGAGTGGGCTGATCAAAAATCGACTGAAAGACAATACATCGACATCCACTTGCAAGTGGTAAGGCATTCTTTCAAACGACAACAGTAATTGTAATTGCTCGGACTTTACGCGTGCGGTTACCAGTGTTGGATAAAATAATATATAAGACCAGAAATTGGAACTCAGTTTATAATGATTCATTTGGTAAGCTCATTAAGTAGAAATGTATGTAGTATCATTTTGTAAGCTAAGAAAAAATAATTTCAGCAAACTGATATATGCGCAGTGTGCGATGTTACAGAAATAAAGGCTTATCCAAGTAATATGTTTATGTACATGAGGAAATGTTCCTGCATGTGATCTAAAAACCTGAAAATCATTTAATCTTTTAAATCATAGTAAAGATTGCATACCATTATGAACAATTATAATATTGTCTGTAAACATTTCCAACAGCAATTTTTAGTTTTATGAATTCAAATATATTCTAATGTTTAAACATCTTAGAAGTACAGATAAGAAACTTGGGTAGAACGCCGCCACATTAAGCGCGCTTTTCAGTTCTTTACGTTATTATGTTGTTTATGGCGCTAGAGTTTGTATATATATTGACACCTTTCCGGTTACAATGCATTAATAGTAAACTAGAATGGTTCTTACACATCTATTCCCATTTTAAGACACCGCGCTAGCGTTTGTTTTGGGGAAAAGTTAAAAAATACACACAATTTGCTACTGTAAAAAAACAAATACTGTGAAAACAGTTAACTTTTTGCTCCTAGCAAGTCTATTATGCCTTATGTAGTGTAAAGGGACATTCTTGAGCTAATGGTGTACACAATTCGTCGTCGGGAGGAAACTGTGGGTAAAAGAAAACAATCAATGCCCTGACGATAAAAACAAACCAGAACTATTATACCATTAGGTTTCCTGATTTTAGAGCAAAAGGAAACAAGTAGAACCAAGTCACAAAGAAAAAGTTAAAATTGGTTTCCTATTCCATTTATTTTGAATGCAAATTTCAATTAACTATACGAGAACGATAAGAACTTATTTTTTATTATCGTTATTAAAACTAATTGAGTAATACTACATATATGCTTTTATTTATTACAGTATTATAGTCTATTATTCCTTCTACGTTAAATATTGAGGTTATCATACTCTGAGGCGCTAGTTCTCACCTTTCAAACGTTTTCTCGCAAGTTGTACGATTCTTTATACGAATCTGTGTTCTAGGCTTTTGCAGTTGCAGCAAAATCACGAAATGACAACACTGCGCCAAGCGATAAGACCGGCGTGACATGAGCTACTGCACATTTTTATCGGCCGAGAGAAATAAAACAGGAATAGCTTAATGACCTCCCTCACGCGCAAATTTACAGCCGATGTGTTTTGCAAAGTCATTTAGAGGTACCTTCGTAGATTATTAATAGATTTTAAGTTACTAAGATATTACAGTGACATTCATTTGAAGAGGGCGTCGATGGGCAAAAAACAGCAGTACGTTCTGTACAAACTTGTGCTGTAATTATGTGAAATATTAATGTTAATGTCCAAGGTAGTTAATATAAACTGTAAAAATTTACAGAATGAGTTTTCTTTACTGACAGCGTGTTCTGTATTTTTGTATCCAACCGAATGAATTTCTTTTCGTACACCTAGTGCGCCACGTCATACACAACTTCAAATAACAATATACGAAAGAAGAATCACATTTTCGGTATTTCTACTTCACGTTAAAGTTGTGTAGATCTCTATTTGAAGATACATAATGGTTCATATGTCACCTCATTGCATGATATTTGCTTCATAGTTGTATGAAACAGATTAACGCATTTTATGAAACATGCAGATGAGATATATATCAATTGATTACGCTCATGTGATTGACAATTATGTGCTCAGTTTCTTTCCATAAACTCCTCCCTTTCTATTACCTCACTACTAACAATTCATTTACTATGGCTGCCTTGAATTTTCCAGTTTAATTTTAAAATTTGAGAACAGGAAATCGGACGACGCACTAGTGATAAAGATTGAATTTGCTTACTCACGGCTTACATAAGCAGCCAGTGAGTAGCAACCGGCAGCTGCGAAATTTAATTAAAAATCTGAACACTGCTAATCGATTGTTGCCCATAGATCTGATCAAGAACGCGAATGCGTAGATCAAGCACTTGCTGTTGAAATGTCTTATGATATTTCTGTCAGAGGAAATAATAAAATGTTGACTATCGGAATGACTGAGTTACAGTGGTTGCACATTTGTTCAATCGATCGAGCTTCATAGTCGTACCTTTCTCTATACTATACTGAAGCCGTGTTCACAACTACGTAATGACAAATCGTAGATAATTTGAACCAATTTTTATAAAATTACAATGTTCCTCTACCTCCATCAATTATTTTCTCAAAAGATTAAATTGGTATTTCATTGCTTCCAAAATCGATATTGAGATATGCTTTTTTATTTTAGAACATTTTATGAATGAGTCAATTATTCTTATGCACCCTATAAGATGTGTTATTATAATTACACAGCGACGGTTTACAGGAAAAGTGACACGTCAAAAATCTTTATTTTTTAGTTACGTGTGGAACAATTTGAAATTTATCAATTTTTTGCAAAACATTCATAAAGATCGCAACGCAACCTTTATACGGTTATTGCAGAAGGTGATAGTATATCTAGGACACAATGGCAAAAACACCTATAAAATATTATCAGGACGTTATAGAAATATATAGATAAAATATTTTATACTACAGAAAACTTACTTTTAATTAGCTCGCATTACAAAAGTTCAAAAAGTATAATACCCTATTTAATAGCGTGTGGTGATTCCTTTGCTTTGACTTTTATTGCCTTTAGTTTTCGCGGCATGGATTTCACCAACACTGCGGTAGTCGCCGGGCCAATTATACTTCATTCTTAAGAAAGCAAGTTTCAGATGTTGGTTCTTAGATAAACTGTATTTTCTATTTTGTATGCCAAGAAAAGATCTGAGATGCTCTGTAGGGTTAATGTTTGGAAATTTAGGAAGTCTATAAATTTATAATTTGGTGTAGAGTATTGAAAGCGTTCTTTTTAGGGTCATTGTCACTACAAAACACAAAGTTATTTCCAAGACCCATGTGCAGCGCAATGACATAGACGTTTATTTTAATATATGAACACTTTGTGTTTCCTTACACGATCGATCGACCGGGAAAGGCGGCTTAGTGCATCAACTGATGCCACTGGAGTGCCTTTTACCGGGAGGTCGTATGTTCGAGTCCCGACAGTGGCAAGATTTTCGACACT